TTGTTCATATATCCTCATTTGCATTAGGTTTGATTCCCATTCCCTTATTCACATACACGTATGCATACAGTGAAGCAATTAACAGGCATTTATCACACAAACAGGAAATCAAACCATCACGTACCTAGAAACCAAGCTTGAATCCTCCTAAGACACTTGAGCCTTCCCTTTCCGAATTCTTTCCGCTTGTTCTTGGTCTAAAAACAATTAAGTAATGCTATGATCAATAAACAAGACTTAATTTACCCAGATAATAATCAAACTATCAATTTTAGGCCAAACCCAAGACTCCAATACTCAATTAGGGATTTTTTCCACCATAAACTTCAGGCTAAAACCCTCCCCTAATGATAATCACTCAAGATTTTAAGTTCTAAGAATCGAATTACTAATTAGGGAAGTAATTATCTTACCTTTAGCGGTAGAAATCGTGGAAAACTGTCTAGAACTGCTCTGGTGTGCCTCCTAGCCCTCAAGAACGAAGTTTTCCTGACTTAACTCGCGAGTGTCCCACCACAGCGAGACCCAAACCGTCACAGTGGCCCCGCCCTGGCGGAACCAACCCCGCTCTAGCGGCTTGCACGGAGACAAAAGCTCGGAATTTGAGTTCCAAGCTCCTACTTCACAACACACCTTCAAAAACTACCTTTCCATGCCAAGATCAGTTTCGGGAGTTCTATTCACCCGAATTCAATTCTATAAAGCAGTACAGGCTCCTTAAACGTCTTGGCTATCCACTCATGTGATAAAATTCATAAATCAAACCCCCGGTCTATTACCAAATTTCCCTAGACCTCACCTGACTCAAATTTCGTTCAAGTCTGGCTTAGGGTAGAAATTTCCAAGTCACTACTCAAAAGTTTTCTGGCCCCAATTATTTCCCCATTGACTTTTCCATAACGACGGGAACAAGTCGTTACAGTGTTTAATACCAAGAGTAAAATAGACACAAAAGTTAAATTATTTCTTGATTTTCTAAATTGGACATGTATTGTTGGACATCTATTTTTAGTATAGTGGACAACTTTTGTAGACCGAGAGAGTACTCGCTCCATCCAACAATACTTGTCCACTATACTAAAAATAGATGTCCAACAATACTTGTCCACTTTATGAAATCCATAGATAATTTTATACTTAGTTCCTAATTTACCCTTATAGTCATTTCCCTATTATATTTTTCAAGACATTGTGTTTATTATATTCAAATGGTGATATAGTAAAACTACACTTCTATTTATAATTTCTTAAAGGGTGTGTCAAGTCAATAGTGGACAACTATTATTGGACAGAGGAAACAATTTTTAATTGTTTATATCCATAGAATTGTTTGACCTAGTAGGCTTATCATTAATTTTTTTTAGAAACTTCAACTCTTTCTTCAAGGTCATCAATTCTCTCCAACAGTTTAGGAATCATAAATTTGAATCTTGATCAATATATTCATCCTTTTAAAGCCAAAAAGTCACATAATATAGCACTTTAAAATGAATAAAAATAAGAAAATAAATCAGTCTTTGACTTTTCAAAATCAACACATCTACTAGAATTCTCGGATTTCAAGCAGTCAACAAAAACAAAATAAAATCATGTTTGCATCACACTTCTTCAATTCATTATACTTCAAGCTTATTTTAGTCAAGCTTATTTTAGCCATAGTATCAACTTGATTACCAAAAAACAAAGCAAGCTAATCAAAGACAAAATTCATACAAAACATTTCAAAAAAAAATATAAAAAAATCTGAAACAAAATATTTAAACATTGAAAATTAGGATTCTTCCTTTTGAATGAGTTAGGATCGAGTATGAGTTATAATGGAGTGGATAAAATATAGTTGGATACTAATTTAATTTTAAAACTTTTTTTGTAAATTTAATCAGTATCAACATGCTCAAATATTGAGCGAAAGATACTTGTGTATGGTCTAAAAAGAAATAAGCAAAGGCAAATTCACTTTTAATATATATATATATATATATACACACAATAGACCGTTCAATTAATTAGAGTATGAACTCGGCTTATTCGGCCCTTTTCAAGATGCTTTCCTCTAAATAGAATGAAGACAAAATAGTCTAATGAATCATTATACATGTACGAATTTGTATTATGGATTCTTCTATTCAATTATTTACCAACTGAAATCTTAAATTCAATCTACTATGTGTGTAATTCACTCGTCCTTCAATAGATGATATGTCAAATTCATGTCACATAAATTAATGACATGTCATAATATCTTATCTTCATTAGTTATTTTTTAAAATTATTAAATAAAAGATAAAATAATAAAATTTTAATTTATTCTTTAAAGTAAAATTTGGGACTCCACAGTGACCACACATCTTCTCCCCCGCCAAAGAGGATGACAATTGGGTGTGGAGAAAAAAGAGAAAAAGGGTTGAGCAGGGATGGGGATGTCTGAAAAGGTAGGTGGAGTGGGTGGAATTTTTTAATTTTTTTTTCTTTTATAATTTTAATATTATTTAAATTTAAATATAATATTCACTTGCCTTAAGTCTTAACACGCGTGTAATCATACACTTTCGCCAATTCAATCATCTTAATGCAGATAAGCATGATCAATAATCAGATAAATCTGTTATATTATGTTTTACTGAGTTCAAGATTCAGTTGATAAATAATTCGATAGAATAATTCATAAATACAGACTCGTATAAATACAAATTTTCATTAAACTATTTCCCCTAAAATAAATAAGAGGAGTAAAGCAAAAATATCAATGAGGACGAAATGGTCATATGCAATTTGTATTAGAAAAATCAAAGGGGAATCTCTTACCAAGTCAAAAAATGCATATTCCCTTGGATTCATTGTAAAGCTTTCCCATTTCCAAAGTCAATGGAATGAACCAATTAATGCTCTCAACTCTCAAGTCTCTGTCTTTCATGTAGGAAAATTCAACTACATGACAATTAGGCATTAAATATCACAAAGTAGACTGATAATATACGCTCCCTCATTTCACTTACTTTATTTTTATCATATTTGAACTTGACATATCTATTTAAAAATTAATGTTTAATATGATTATTTATCTCATTATTTTTATTAATTGATGTTTCGTTACAAAGTGAAGTGAAAGAATTGTTTAAAAAAATAAGTAATTAATATTGAAAATAAAGTATGAAAAAAAAAAGTTAAATCTTTTCTTGATATATTGAAATGACAAATAAAAGTAATTTAAAAATAAAATAAAATGGACAAGTAATAGTGAACTATGAGAGTAACAAATACTAATACTCTCTTCTTCCTACGTTAGTAATCCACATAATTAAGAATAGTTATCTCAAATTACTTGTGATTTACAAAATCAAGATAAGATTGAATTTTTCTCATTTTATCCTTATGATTAATGATTGAATTTTTCTCATTTTATCCTTATGATTAATGATTGAATTTTTCTCATTTTATCCTTATGATTAATGATTTTTAAAAGTGTAAATAGGTTTGTAAAGTTTACAATTTTTTTTTTTATAAAAGTATAAATAAGTTTGCAAAGTTTTCAAGAAAATAAAATCTTAAAGGATAAATTAGTAAAACTATCTTTCTTATTATGATTTCTTAAGAAACATGTACATGACAAAGTGGATAACTAACATGGGATGAACAATTTTTTTTTTCTTTCTCATAAATAACACTGAGTTTCTTTTCGTAAATACTGAATTGCTATATCAAAATCTAAATTTTCAATATCACAATTTCGGTATATGGTATTTCGTATGCATTTTTTTTGGCATTCGATAACAATTTATTTGATCGAAATAGGAATAGCATATCGAAGTACATAATTATATACACAATTCATATATATTATTTTATAATAACATTAACAAATACATAAATAGAGTATTAGTATAAAGCTAATTGTTTAAATGTTGGAGCTTTGATTAACAAATGAAATTGCTTGTACTTTAAAAAAAAATATTTTTACATGTTTAAAGTGTTAGTAAGATATAATTGAGATGTTTCTTAAATAAACGAAGTTATAATTCTCTATTATATGAGTATATATAAGTTGAAGTTGAATAAATTATAATTATCAATTAATCATGATTCATGCCACAACATATTGAAATCAAACTTGAAGTATAAAATTTATATTTTTATGACGTGTTAAATATGGTGAAAGTTATTTTTCTATATAAAAAACATGTATTTTCTAACAAGTAATTTCTTTAAAATGTTTTTCTATATTTAGTTGAAAGCACTAAAGATCGATAATAATATCGCAAGTGTTGACTAGGAGTTGATGCAACCATATGAAATTAAATTTTCACTCAAAAGTGATGGAAGACATTTTCCTTTTACCTTTTTCGGTGGAAAATATTTTCTCATACAAATTCTTTTGAACAACCAAAAACACAAATTATATAACAAATTTCTCTTCTTGGTTCGTCTCAAGAAAACAATATATTTCAATATTTAGTACTTCCTCTCACCCATTTACACTTTTTTTTCATTTTTAGTCTGTTCTGTTCTAAAAAGAATGTCAGCTTATTATAACTAAAAATAATTTAATTTTAAAATTAGTTGTTACCTTTAATAAAATAATTTACAATCAAACAAAAACATCTAATAATTGTTTTAGCCCACAAGTTTCAAACGTTTTTTTCTTCTTAAATATCGTGTCTAGTCAAATGATGTCAAATAAAATAAGACGGAAGAAGTAACAATTTGACTTTAAAAAGTCTATTTTATCCTTAATAAAATAATATATAGTCACATAAACATTAACACTTATTTTAAACTGTATATTTCAAAAGTCATCATTTCTTCCTTAAATTTGGTGCACAATCAAACTACATCACATAAATTGAAATGGAAGTAAAAATTCCATCACACCAAACACCCCCTCATACTTTGGTACTATACATGCCAGAAAAGGGTCCTATCGAATGCATACTTATCAGCACAATATCAAGAGTTGTTTCTTCTTACCTTTCTTGAAGTTTTTCATTTTCTTTAGATTTTTCACTATTCCAACAACTATGGAAAACATGGATTTGGAATCTAAATCTGTTAACACAAATTTCGCTCTACCAGTTGATTCTGAACATAAAGCCACTGAATTCAGAATATACTCTGTTTCAGCGCCACACATGAGATCATTTCATCTTTCTTGGATTTCATTCTTTTCTTGTTTTGTTTCCACATTTGCTGCTCCACCCCTTCTTCCTATTATCCGTGACAATCTTGATCTCACTTCAACTGACATTGGAAATGCCGGAATTGCAGCTGTTTCCGGTGCAGTTTTTGCGAGAATTGCAATGGGAACAGCTTGTGATTTATTCGGTCCAAGACTTGCTTCATCTGCTCTTATTCTCATAACTGCACCAGCAGTTTTCTTAACTTCAATCACAAATTCAGCATTATCTTTCCTTCTCGTTCGTTTCTTCATGGGGTTTTCGTTAGCTACATTTGTATCGACTCAATTTTGGATGAGTTCGATGTTCTCTGCTAACGTAGTTGGCACTGCAAATGGTATAGCCGGAGGATGGGGGAATCTTGGTGGCGGAGCTACACAGTTAATTATGCCTTTAGTGTTTTCGCTTATACATAAAATTGGTGCAAATCAGTTTACTGCTTGGAGAATTGCGTTTTTTATACCTGCTCTGTTTCAGGCTTTGACTGCGTATGCTGTTTTCTTTTTAGGACAAGATATGCCCGATGGAGATTACGCGAAACTTCATAAATCTGGTGAAAAGCATAAGGATAACATGTTAGATGTGTTATATCACGCAGTTACAAATTATAGAGGGTGGATTTTGGCATTGACTTATGGTTATTGTTTTGGTGTTGAACTTACTGTGGATAATATAATCGCGCAGTATTTTTTCGATAGGTTTAATGTGAATCTTCATACAGCTGGGATGATTGCAGCTAGTTTTGGTTTAGCAAACTTGTTTTCCAGGCCTGGAGGAGGGATGTTGTCTGATATCGTCGCGAAGAGGTTTGGTATGAGGGGAAGACTTTGGGTTCTATGGGTTGTGCAGACATTAGGAGGGTTGCTTTGTGTTCTTTTAGGGAAAGTAGAATCTTTGAGTGGTTCTATTGCTGTGATGCTTGTGTTTTCGGTTTTTTGTCAAGCTGCTTGTGGGCTAACTTTCGGGGTTGTTCCATTTGTTTCGAGAAGGTATGTTGTATTCTTCTATCTGGTTAATTAGTTTTACCTAAACCTGACAAAGGGGTCGGTCCAGTACATGACCGGCCCCCTTAACCTTTGTGTCCAAGCCTGGAGGCTGGCTTAAGAGCTTTCCTTTGGGTGAAGGGAGAGGATTTGGGTGGGTAGATCAAATGGTCTGTTCTCATCCACAAGTTACTAAAGATAATATAATTACAACAACAACAATATACCTATAGTGAAATCTCACTAGGTGGAGTCTGGGGAAGGTAGAACGTACACTTACCTTACCACTACCTCATGGAGGTAGCTGGTTCAATCCCTTAACCTTTGTGTCCTTGCTTGAGGCTGACCTGAGGGCGGTTCTCTTTTACTTGGTTCCATTGTCATAGAACTAGTTACTTGACAATAATTCAAGAACCTAGCTACTATGTCGGATACATTGATTGTATAAAAAATACTTGGAATGTCAGTATGTATAACTTAAATCTATAAAAGATCATACAACTTGTCACACGTTTAGAGACTAATCCTCGTTTTTGTTTTGCTTAATAGATCATTGGGCATAATTTCGGGGATGACAGGAGGAGGTGGAAACGTTGGAGCAGTACTAACACAAGTAATTTTCTTTAGAGGATCAAAATATTCAACAGAAACAGGAATTACATACATGGGTATCATGATAATATGTTGCACTATCCCTATTTTGTTTATATACTTTCCACAATGGGGTGGAATGTTTTATGGTCCCTCATCTAAAGGCTTGACAGAGGAAGACTACTACATGAAAGAGTGGAATTTAAAGGAAAAAGAGAATGGGTTTCATCAAGCAAGCATGAAATTTGCTGGTAATAGTAGAAGTGAAAGAGGTAAAAAAGTTGAATCAGCACCAACACCTATAGATGGAACTCCTAATATATAATCGTTTGAGTTAAAGATCAATCCCTTTGGAGTCATTGACATAATAGATGTCGTTCTAGTCTATCTCTTTCGGTGCTAGGCGAGGTTTGTGATTTGTTGTCACTCTAGCACTGTATTTTGTTACTCTTGTATCATATTGTATTGTCAGGAGTAGCACAAATTGCTGTTTAAGCTTCGTCTCTCATTATAAACTATAGTTCAATGTGTTATTTTCTACTTCTTCTTGAGTTTGCATAAAGTAATTACTACTCTGTCTGTTCCAATTTAAGTGTCTTAGTTTGACTGGACATAGTGTTTTTAAGAATTAAATGGAAACTTTTGAATCTTCTGGTAATTAAAAATGTGTGTAGTCCTTAAGATCATGTGATCTTAAGCTTATCATGTAGAATGTTGGAATTGAAAATTATACTAAAAACAGAAAGAAACACTCTCGGGACAATCAGAAAGCAAAGTAAGACACTCAAATTGAAACTCAGGGAGTACTTTGTTTCTTTTGAGTATATGTTCTGTATCATTTGCTTCCCTCTCAAAATTTTAGTTATCAAAATATAAACGGAAATATACTCCTCTACTATTTCCGTTTAAGTTTGTCCCTTGTTATACTATTTGACTATGTGAGCCCTTACCATTAGCAAAAGTTTCATATGCTCAGCTCTTAGGAATAAGCACGTGGTACGAACATGTCAAGAACTCCTAGCTTGAACTTCAAATATTCATTATGAACTTTGATCAGTTCCTTTGTGAGTATGACAGTAATACCTAAATAATGATTGAGTAAGAGATAGAGCCCATCCTCTTTTTTATCAATCTCCTTCACCTTCCCAGTTAAGAGATCCAGAAAAATGCACAAGTCAGGAAAAAAATTAACACAAAACACTATAACTTCTTGGCCTGTTCAAAAACAATTAACAAATTATAACTGAATATTTGAGGGACATAAAATACATTAGAACTGTCACTTTTCTGTGAAATTATACTTGTGCCTATGTGTGTAACCAGTGACATATCACCATTAGGAAAGGAATATTGATGACAACATGAACCAGATTCACATGCATGCATGTACCAGACATAAAATAAAAAGAGCGGGAAAAAATCACACAAATACATACGCAATAGGAAACATATTTAAAACAACAGTCCAAGCCAAATAAGGAAAAGAATAATGGCAGATGATTTCTATACGGAAAGGGAATGAGACAAATGAGTCCTATAAGGAAAAAAAAATTATTTTTCTAGGAAAAATTAATTCCTTTCCTTGTAGAAGTCGACGACCTAAGGCTTTAATCAACTTCTATAAAAGGATGAAGTCAAAGAAAGAAGGGAAAATGCATAAGTACCTCCCCAGCCTATGCCCCAAATCCTTAAGACACACCTAACCTTTACTAAGGTCCTATTACCCCCGAACTTATTTTATATATAATTTTCTACCCCTTTTCGGCCTACATGGCACTATCCTTGAAAAAATTGTCAACGCGCGCTGGGCCCACAAGATAGTGCCACGTAGGCTGAAAAGGGGTAGAAAATTAGGTTTTCTTTCAAGAGTTAGTTTGCATTGGTTTGTTTTAGAATCAGTGTTTAGGAATTAGCGTTCCTAGTGTGTAAGAGAGTTTTTGAGAGAATTGTAACAAGAAAAAGTGGGTTTGGCCTCATGTAGAGTAAAATCTTTGATTATAGTTAATCGTTGAAACTGAAGGTACTAGAGTTAGTCTCTTTGATTATTGAGCTGTAATCTTGAATATAATTGTTCTTAAAGATAATAAAAGTGTAATGTGATTTTTCCCTTCTTGGAGCAAGAAAGGTTTTCACGATAAAATCATTATTTTATTGTGTTGTGTTTCTCTATCTAGACAAATTAACAAGAACCTGATTCTTTTATAAAGATACGGTTTCTTCAAGTATATTTTCCTAGGAACCTCATTTTTAGTTATAGAGTCATTGTTTAACAACTTTTAAGTCTGATGTCATATGTAGCTCCAGTATCTATGATCCACTCCGAACTCAACATGCCTGACACAATACCTACTTTTGCCTCTAGAATCATATCTTTAATGGCATCAACTAATCCCTGCAAATATTGATAGAACTTATGTCGAACGAGGACAAAATCTAAATAAGTAAGGATAGAATTTAAGTTAAGTTATGCAAGTAAGGACAAAATGTAAGTCAAATAAGGACGTATTTACGTCAACTAAGGACATAACCTAAATCAATTGAGGACAAAATTTAAGCCAAATGAAAGAAGAATCCAAAACAAATAACAAAAAAATGAAGTCAAGTTAGGACAATATTTTAAGTCAATTAAGGGCATACCTTAAGTCATAGAATTTAAGTCAAATGTAGATAGAATCCAAAACAAGCAAGGACAAAATTTAAGTCAAGTTAGGATAGTATTTAAGTCAAATAAGTCAAGTTAAGCCACAATTTAAGTTAAATAAGGATACAACACAACATGAACAAGTAATGGCAAAATTTAAAACATATTAAGCTAGTAATAACATCACTTCAATCAAATAAGGAAAACGTTTAAATCAACTAAAGATAACTTGAAACAAGTCACCTACCTGAACTTTCACCTTGTTGGTGAGGATTCAATCCCCCATATTATAATCATCTCCCCCATTTAAAAAAAAGAAAAGAAGAAGAAGTTAGGGTAAAATTTAAAACAAATTAGTACAAAATTTAAAGCAAAGACATAAAAGACAAAAAGTGATACCTTCTAACATGTCATCCCTTCACCCATATTCCGCTCCAATGAACTCTTTAGAAGCTCCTAAACTCAGTTGGATCTACATTGGATCTCACCTGAATCGCCTGACATTGAACCCAAATACATTACCTACAATGAAAGCAAGCATATTGGTAACGGAACCTATTGAAAGTCCAAAAACTGAAGCGTTACAATCCAAAAATTTTAAGTCATGTTGGCACTTATTAAACCCTATAGGTGAATCAAATACATTACTAAATCCATTTCAACCATTTAAAAGTGGAAGTAAAAGAAAAAAAAACCTATATTAAATTCAAAAGCAAACATTGTAATATAAAAAGTGCAAAACGTATAGTAAAATCCTACCCAAAGCATGTTGTCGCAAGTACAAGAGCTTCCAAGGTAGGATTACAATATGAAATAAATCTCAATATATCTATCTAGAAATTGAAGACATGAATAAAAGGATAGGAAGCAAAGTCTAGCGTTACAAAATCGTTAAAATGTTTCATAACTTGGCTTATTTGTGAAACAAGTTGCCACCTAATTTATACAGAATTAAGAAATCATTTTTGAAAGGTATTGAAAGACCTTTAATTTTAAAGCCAGAGAAAGGGGTATGGGTTCAAGTGATTTTTTGAGGAAGATGTTAGGCATCTTGAAAAATTGTAAATGTGATTACAATTAATTTAAATATTTTGTGTATAGAAAGAGCGTAACTTGATTTGAATAGGGGAATGTCACGACCCAAAAAAATAAGTCGTGATGAAACATAGTTTCCAATCGATAAGTAAGTTGATCCACTAATTTTACCTATTTTATTTAATATATGATGTGAAAAGTAGGTGATAAGCAAAGTATTTTGAATACTAAGTCTTTTACAAATATAAAATGTGAAAATTAAAGTCTGAAATACCATTCATGATTTGATATCATAAGTATAGGAACTTCTACAATACGATACAAGTCTGAATGTAAGAAATATTATGTCTGAATATTAAAATGACAACATACATAAAGAAATAGAGGAAGTTGTGAGTCGCGAAACAACCAAGCAACTCATCACATATTCAAGATGATCCAAGCTCAGACTCGAAAACCTCCACGAGAGGTTTAGTACAAAACCATGTGTACACAATATATCTCATAAACCAACAATGAAGAAGTAATCACAGAATTACGTAAGAAAATCATCCTCTAAATTTACAAGTCTACATTATATTTAACCATCAAGTTTTCATCAAATATGAATAATCAAAAGCCACGTAATTCAAACATCAATTCAACAAATAATCAAGTAAAAATGAAAGATATAATGAGATGCACGTAACACCAAGAGATGATATACATCAAACCAAGTAAGCTCTCAAATGTATATATACACGATACTTCTTGGAAATTCTTTGAGAGGTTGTGACCTATAGAGGACTCATGAGGTTCATATACTGACACAGACGGTCTTCATGTGTCTATACAAACTATATCACACTATCACATAATCAAACCATCCGACCACGAACGATCTCCACATACCCAGCTCATGATTATAGAATAGTCGCAATACACACGATCTCCACGTGTCAAATCCTTACTCATACTCGATTTCATATCAATATATGTGCACAATATAATACTGACAAATAGGGGATGATGATGTATCTCAATCAATCAATTATCAGTATGACATATAATCACCTCAATTATCACAAATATATGGATTCAATAAACAAACAAGAACACACAAAAGTGATCAAGTCAATAATACACCAGCTAATGCCCATATGCTTTGACATTCTCAAATTACAATTCGTCATTTCATAGTAATAAAATTTTCATTTTATAACACCAATACTCGTACCAATAAATTTTTTCAGAAAGTTGTACTTTACATTTGGCGTTTTAATTATTCCATCAATGTAAACTTGTGAATCAATTACATAATTCGGCTATGATTTGTAAAGAGACATTTATTTCAAAATTCTCGTGATATCCATATAAATTAGAATATTAATTAAATTAAAGGCAAATTACAGAAATCACATACTTTTAAGACAAAATTACAATCTATCCCTTAAAAGTTTATAATTACAGAAATCCCTCAATCAGATACAATAATATAAGCGCTGATACATTAATCTGATGCGCGAGATACATTAATCGTTAAGTAAGATACAATACATTTTATACATGATACACTAATCTGATGTACATTTTATCGCTGATATATTAATCTGATGCGCGAGATACATTAATCGTTAAGTAAGATACATTACATTTTATACATGATACACTAATCTCATATACATTTTATACATGATACACTAATCTGATGCGCTGATACATTAATATGATGCGCGAGATACACTAATCTGATGCGTGAAAATGAGGGATTTTGGAAATTTGTAAAACTTATAGGGGATAATGGCAATAAGTAAACTAAAAGGTGGGATTTCTGTAATTTTTCCTTAAATGAAACCGGTTAATTAATTTCCAATTCAAATGTATATAAACCTCATCTTAAAAATCGGCAAGGGGTCATTTAATATGTGAGATGAGATAAGATATTTTAGAATTAAGTTTGGTATTACAGTTACATCGTGTTTGATTGAAAATATAAATTTATCTCCGAATTAATTTATATTGTCAACCAAACTTTATCTTATACCAAGCTTAATTTTGAAATTCTCACATTAATTGATTATCTTACTAATAATTCAGTCATATATATTTAAACGTAGAAGCAAGAAAAAATAAATATTTTCACCGTGAAGATGTCTAATATAAAATATTCGTGTAAAAGAAAGACAAAGCATGTAGTACTACTTAAATAGAGTGACAAAAATAACACACCCCGTTTTACTAGGCTGTTTCCGCATCCCAACAGCGAATATATAGTTTAATTATTATCTTTTCATGAGCCTTTTCAATTCTTATAATTATAATGGTATGTGTCATAATTATATGGGATGTGCGTGACAACTGACATACACTTATTTTAAGAACGGGTAAAAATTGAATCGATCTAGATTTGAATTTATGTTTTTAATATTGAGTTATTGAATAAATTGTTAACCCAAACAAATAATAGTAGTTCACTATTTTACCCATACATAAAAAAATATCTTATTGATTACTCTTTGCCCTTTAGCTTTCAATTTACATTATTGTCCTAATTCTTTTATTTGTGTTGCACTTGTATAATTATTTTCGTGTTAGTTACTCCTATGTGTATTCTGTAATGTTACATTATTGTTTTGTCGCATCAAATTGTTGTAGAGGTCGTATAACTATTTATGAACATTTACTTATTGGTTAAACCAAAAACCACCGTTAAATTTTTTTTAAAAAAAACTGATAAAAAATATCATAATAGTTTGATAATTAATTTAACGTATTTAAAAATTGAAAATCTTTAAATCAAATCGATAATTTATAAAATCGAACATCCGACCAATCCACATAGGCAATAGCACACCCCTACATGTGAATAAACCGCCCCATATCGAGGTGTTTGTCTTTTCGATTCTCTCTCACTAAGCAGTATATAGAGATAGAGGGAGAAGAGCACACCAATACTTCTCGCTCTTTAATCTCCAAATCTCCACTCTACAGGTAAATCCACTTGCTTAACCTTCTGTTTTGTTTACCTTTTTGTGTTATACTCATATTTGAAAAATATGCTAGATTTATACTTATTTTATAACGTTTGATAACAAAGTATTTATATACTTGTAATCTACGAGAATATTGTAGGGATAGGATGGAGTGGGCAGTGGGAGTTTGGGGGCGGCGGGGGCTGGGATGGTCGAGGGTTAGGAGTTGAAGGATAGGGAGAAGAGAGAAAAACCCAAAATAGTCCTTAAGTTTTCACATGGAACAGTAATCGTTCATGTTTGCAATAGTGGTTCACTTTTGATCCTCTCTCGAACTTTTACCTATTTTTTAACAATGATCTTTTTCATAATTTTATATATGAAATGTTCAATAGTCTTTCCATATATTAATAACTCCATGTGAGAGAAGGTGAGAAACATATTGTTTAGCTTAATAGAAATATTATTGCAGCTAAACTAAGAACACTTTGACACATGACGTTACAAGAAAATAAAAATTATACTATTGCACCTGAAATTGACGTGATGAACCTTTCAATTTTAGCTGCAATAATATTTGTACTAAACAAAACAAAATGTTTTTCTTCTTACCTTCTCTCACATGGAATTATTATTTCTAATATATATATATATATATATAATGATTACATTCCATATATAAATTGTGGATAAAATAAATATTATAAAATGTGCAAAAGTTTGGAGAAGGACAAAAAATTGCAAACATGAGAGATTGTTAGTGCTATGTGAAAACTCAACATGACTTTGAGTCTTTACCCAAAAATAAGGGACTGTTTTGAGCTTTTTCTCGGGAGAAGACAATGAACTTGGAAGATTGATTATTTTTCCATTGCCAGTAAAGAAAAATCATTTTTAAGGAATTTGTATTATTTTTTTTATTTTAGAAAAAATATTTCACAAAATAGTTTCCTCTTGTACCAAACACATGCTATATATACGTTGTCAACTATTACACAATGAAACCTTGTGATCATGATATAATTAACTTTTGAATTTTGGATTTTGCTTAAGATAAATAGGAGCATATTGCGGCCAGTCAAAGATATGGATTCCACAATTTAATGGTGGTGCACACACCATGGGAAACAAGTATTCGAAAAAAACAAGTTTCATAAAGAGCGTTGCAGAGCCGAGTTGTCTCACTCCTTTTGTTAGTTTTCAAGTTCCTTTTGTGGCTTTGCAGGAAGCAACTAACAACTTTGATGAGAGTTGGGTAATTGGAGTGGGTGGCTTTGGAATGGTTTACAGGGGTGTTTTATGTGATGGCACAAAGGTGGCCCTGAAAAGGCTTACGCCTAACTCCGCACAAGGTAGTCAAGAGTTCCGAACAGAAATTGAGATGCTCTCTCAGTTCCGCCATCCCTATTTGGTTTCATTTTTTGGATACTGTGATGAAAGAAATGAGATGATTCTAATTTATGACTACATGGAGAATGGGAATCTCCGTAGCCATTTGTATGGCTCAAATCTACCCACTTTGAGCTGGGAGCAGAGGCTGGAGATATGCATCGGGGCAGCCAGAGGTCTTCACTACCTTCATACTAGCGGAGTTATACATCGTGATGTCAAATCTACAAACATATTGCTTGATGAGAATTTTGTGCCAAAAATTACTGATTTTGGACTATCCAAGAAAGGGCCTGAGCTTGATCAAACTCATGTGAGCACATTCGTGAAAGGAGCTGTGGGCTACATTGACCCTGAGTATTATATAAGGCAACAGCTGACAGAAAAATCTGATGTTTATTCTTTCGGTGTTGTTTTATTTGAAGTTCTTTGTGCTAGGTCTGTCGTAACTCCATCTCTTCCGAGGGAGCAGATCAACTTAGCTGGATGGGCGATGAATTATCAGAAGAAGGGACAGTTGGAACAGATCATAGATCCCAATCTTGTTGGCAAAATTAGACCAGATTCCCTCAAGAAGTTTGGAGAAACAGCGGTGAAATGCTTAGCTGATTCTGGTGTAGAGAGGCCATCTATGAATGAGGTGCAGTGGAATCTGGAGTATGCACTTCATCTCCAAGAGCCTGTCATTTAAGATGATCCTGAAGAAAATGGTACCATCCGTGTTAGCAACCTCTCTCCATTAAGTCAATGGTTTCAGGCATGTTGATGTCAGTTCTTCTGCTGCTCAAATCGAGAAATCAAATTTAGATGATCGCACTAGTAGTATGGGGTCCGTGGGTGGATAACTATGTGAATGTGGTACAGACCATCTTTAAGTGTTTGTCAATTCCACATTTGTTCATGCCTCATATATATGAAGATTGATTTTAGGTGCTTCTAACAATTTATTTCTACAAATATCTGAGTTTTCTATAGAAAGTTAACACTGTAAACATGCCTTAATTGCTCTACCTGTGGAATATCTCTATGAGTTTTATATAGAAAGTTTCACATTATTCATACATAAAAAAAATTATTCTATTAACATCTTGTCAGCAAAATGGCTTTTCAAAACATTAAACAATTTTGAGCTCTAGAACGTAATTCGTTGATACCTATATTCCCTCATCATGTTGCAACCTTGCGGAAGCAAAAACATGGTAATCCATTTTCTTATTGTAAATAGGCAAACGGAAGTTGGCATTGTGTAACGACTCTTCTAGGATCTCTAAGAGACTGTCCCTCACATATGTTGGAAAAAACGTGGACTAACACAAAAATATATGGTCAAAACTCCTCTCAAGATTCCTCTTTTTTATTTTCCTCTTTGTCATCTTTGTTCTCCTTCTTCAACTTCCGGCAAAATTTTTGTGCTCTTTCATGGCACAATGATAACACTCAATATTCTTACGTCTGCCTCTGGATTTGCTTATATTTTATTATATTATATTCTAAGAACCATGGTTCTTGATTCTCCCCCTATGACCATACACTAGGACATTCGACGAAGAAGAACCTTGAATTTTTCTTCTCATTTCTTCGTTCAAGACGTTGCTCTTGATGAGATTCATAGAGATCACATCATCCGTAACATAATTTAATAATGAAGTTCTAAATGTTTCCCAAGAGTCTGGTAGTGAACCAAGTAGAAGCAAACCTTGAATTTCTTCATCAAATTTAATGCCCATAGCAAATAACTTGTTCATGATCTCCTCTAAGTTATTCAGATGATTTGTCATCGGAGAACTATCATGATATTTTAAGCTTAACATCTGTTTTATCAAGAACATTTTATTGTTTTCAGTCTTCCGAGAATACAAACTTTCAAGATACTTCCATAGGGTCCGAGCATTTGTCTCTACAGAAATATGGTTCAACACATTGTCATCAACCCATTGCCTAATAAATTCACAAATCTGTCTGTGCAATAGATTCCACTCTTCATTTGTTTTATCATCAGGCTTTATAGTGATAAAGACTGGTTGATAAACATTGTTAATATAGAGCAAATCTTCCATTTTCTCCTTCCAAATAGCATAATTAACTCCATTCAAAATAATCATTCTAGTTGTGTTGGCTTCCATCGTTTCCCCAAAATAAAGATATTGCAAATTAAAACTTTAATATCAGTTTGTTGGAAAAAATGAGGACTAACACAAAATTATATACAATCAATATAATGAGGATAAAATGAGAAAAATAATAACACCAAAAATTTTACGTGAAACAATTGATATCACTATAGCAAGAAATTTTACACTGTATAGTCACAAGTACAATACTCAAAGTGACTATTACCCACTAAAAAAAATAACCCTCTTATAATTTTTCATCTTATTAAAATATTATTCACACTCTATTTTTTCCTTCATAGATTATTTTCTTGTATAGTCTATTATAAACTTACTTTGCTCTCTAATATTTTCTCTATGTTTTTGGTGTTAAATGAGAGCAGAAGCTCTCCATTTATAAGAGAAATATATCCTATTGATGTCATTAATGACATCAATGAAAAGCAACAATTCAAATATCTTGACATTTTTTTTTACAAATAAAGGCTCTTTGACATTTTTGCACCGTTGCAGCTATTAAAGACATTTGAGCAGCAAATGAAGACCTTTGACTTTGAACAGCAAATGAAAACTTTGAATAATTGGATGGACCCCACAACATATTCCGTTCTTAATCCTTTCAGATTCATGTTTTTAATTTTCTCTACTTTATCTATATAATTTAGATGCTCTTATTGTGTGAATTTATTTCTGGGAGTTGTTTTCCTGAATAGTTCTTTAATAGTAAAACTAGGTGATAAATTAATGCATCTCTGTTTTCAGATTTATTCTACAAAAAACACAATAAAAAATTACCTTGTGCTCAGTGATAGCTTAAATAATGTTATTTGAAGGTTATTAGTAGCACTCAACCATGGGAAGCAAGTATTCCAAGGCAACAAATTCCATAAATGATGCTTTAAACTCGAGTTATCGCGTTCCTTTTGAAAGTTTTCGAGTTCCTTTTGTAGATTTGCAGGAAGCAACTAACAACTTCGATGAGAAGTTTCGCATTGGATTGGGTGGCTTTGGGAAAGTTTACAGGGGTGTTTTGCGTGATGGAACAAAGGTGGCCCTGAAGAGGTGTAAGCGTGAGTCCTCACAAGGTATTGAAGAGTTCCAAACAGAAATTGAGATTCTCTCTTTTTGCAGCCATCCGCATTAGGTTTCATTGATAGGATACTGTGATGAAAGAAATGAGATGATTCTAGTTTATGACTACATGGAGAATGGGAACCTCAGGAGCCATTTGTATGGCTCAGATCTACCAAGTATGAGCTGGGAGCAGAGGCTGGAGATATGCATCAGGGCAGCCAGAGGTCTGCATTATCTTCATACTAGCGCAGTTATACATCGTGATGTCAAGTCTATAAACATATTGCTTGATGAGAATTTGGTGGCAAAAATTACTGATTTTGGACTATCCAAGAAAGGGACTGAGCTTGATCAAACCCATCTTAGCACCCTTGTGCAAGGAACTATAGGCTACCTTGACCCTGAATATTTTAATAGGGGACAACTGACAGAAAAATCTGATGTTTATTCTTTCGGTGTTGTTTTATTCGAAGTTCTTTGTGCTAGGCCTGCCATAGTTCAATCTCTTCCAAGGGAGATGGTTAGTTTAGCTGAATGGGCAGTGGACTCGCATAATAAGGGACAGTTGGAACAAATCATAGATCCCAATCTTGCAGCCAAAATAAGACCAGAGTCCCTCAGGAAATTAGGTGAAACAGCGGTGAAATGCTTAGCTTTGTCTAGTGAAGATAGGCCATCAATGGGTGATGTGTTGTGGAAATTGGAATATGCACTTCGTCTCCAAGAGTCTCTTATTTAAGATAAGATGATCTTGACGGCAAGCAGCGGAGGAGCCAGGATTTTCATTAAGGATTGTTAGAATATAAAGAAGTAAATACACGAGAAAGGCTGTAATGTGCATGTCGTTTTAGTTGTTTAGAAAGAAAAAAAAGTTTTTGGTGTAACACTAGTACATATATTTATTAAAGCAAAATTAACCTATATATAATGTAATTTTCCAGCAAAGGAGTGCTGCTTGACACCCCTCGGGCAACAGTAGCTCTGCCCCTGACTTCAAGTCTATGATTTCAGTCATTTGATGCTCAGATCTGGATGATCTCATCAAATTCGGATGATCTCTGTGCTGCTGAATAGGGGGTTTCTAGAAATTGATTAAGTCTGATGGTTGATAACTAAGTGAAAATGGTGCATACCATCCTCAGGTGTTTGTTAATTCCACTTTTGTTGGTGGATCATATAAAGATATATTTTTGTTTTTGTAAGAGTCTTCTGAGTTTTATATAGAAAGTTAACTTTGAAAACTTGAAATGCTCTACCTGTGGATCCTTCTTTCATTTTATTAGGTGTGTCCGGCTGTTACACATATTAATTGTATATGGTTTTTTTTAAGTTCTTCATACATTTTCTTATTGTAAAGAGGCAAAAGGAAGTTTGCTGCTTTGACATAGTCATATAAAATATATATATTCAGCTTTCAGAATGGAACTACAGATCTTAAAAGTTTTTGGAGCAATTCAAAATATTACTCAATCTGTTTACATATAATATTCAAGCTGTTTACAAAATGACAATTGTAGAGCAACTTTTCTATTAAAAAATAAAGTTGAATGACATTTTAAGATAATATATAACCATGATTGAGTAATATTTTTGTTAACAAATATTACTGAACATCATGACTAAGCTATTTGACTAAGTAATTTACTTAATACATATAATATACACTAGTATTTGCCCAAATCCATTTAGTGAAGAGGTCATTTTCTTTTCGGTTCTCTCTTCCACAATAACTATCAATCTCTCTGTTTCTCTCCAAATTTCCTCAGTTGTGGTATAATCGGAGGTTCCTCAAGCTTCTATTTTATACATATATGATTTTCATCTACATGCTTACTGTTAGGAGTTCATTTTTTTCTTCTGTTATATTTGTTTTCAACTTTGAGATAGTGAAGCCTTCCGATCATGAGATTTAGTTGTGAGTTTCCGATTTTGCTCAACAAAACAGGAGCAGTTTGCCCAGTCAAATACTAGTTGCACTCCACCATGGGAACCAAGTATTCCAAGGCAACAACTTACATAACTGATACGATGAGTTATCACGTTCCCTATGAAAGTTTTCGAGTTCCTTTTGTAGCTTTGCAGGAAGCAACTAACAATTTTGATGACAAGTTTCTCATTGGAGAGGGAGGAATTGGGAAGGTTTACAGGGGTGTCTTGTGTGATGGCACAAATGTCGCCTTGAAAAGGCGTAAGGCAGAGTCCGATGAAGATCTTCAAGAGTTCCAAACAGAAATTGAGATCCTCACGCAGTTCCGCCATCCGCATCTGGTTTCATTGATTGGATACTGTGATGAAAATAATGAGTTAACTCTAATTTATGAGTACATGGAGAATGGGAACCTCAGGAGACATTTATATGGCTCAGATCTACCCAGTATGAGCTGGGAGCAGAGGCTGGAGATATGCATCGGGGCAGCCAGAGGTCTGCACCACCTTCATACTAGCAGAGTTATACATCGTGATGTCAAGTCTATAAACATATTGCTTGATGAAAATTTTGTGGCAAAAATTACTGATTTTGGAGCATCCAAGAAAGGGACTGAGCCTGATCAAACCCATGTTACCACAATCGTAAAGGGAACTTTGGCTTACCTTGACCCTGAATATTATCGAAGTAGTCAGGTGACAGAAAAATCTGATGTTTATTCTTTCGGTGTTGTTTTATTAGAAGTTCTTTGTGCTAGGCCTGCCATGGATTCATCTCGTTCGAGGGAGATGTTCAGCTTAGCTAAATGGGCAATGGAGTGTCAGAAGAACGGACAGTTGGAACGAATTATAGATCCCAATCTTGTTGGCAAAATAAGACCAGATTCCCTCAGGAAGTTTGAGGAAACAGCGGTGAAATGTTTAGCTTTGTCTGGTGAAGATAGGCCATGTATGGGTGAGCTGCTACGGAGTCTGGAGTATGCTCTTCATCTCCAAGAGCCTGTCATTCAAGATGATCCTGAAGAAAACAGTACCATCCCTATTCGCGAGCAAATCAATGATTTCAGTCATGTTGATGACAGTTCTTCTGCTGCTTCGATCGAAACATCAAATTGGGATGATATATATGTCCGAGATAACTAAAGTGAAAATGGTACATACCTTCCTTAAGTATTTGTTAATTCCACTTACGTTCATGAATCATATGAAGATTTATTTTTTGTTTATGTCACAATTTTTATTTTAGCAAGTTCTGATTTCTATATAGAAAGAAAGATATTATACATCGTGATGTCAAGTCTACAAACATATTGCTTCATGAGAATTTTGTGCCAAAAATTACTGATTTTGGAATATCCAAGACAATGCCTGAGCTTCATCAAACCCATCTTAGCACAATGGTGAAAGGAAGTATAGGCTACATTGACCCTGAATATTTTATAAGGGGACAACTGACAGAAAAATCTGATGTTTATTCTTTCGGTGTTGTTTTATTCGAAGTTCTTTGTGCTAGGCCTGCCATAGGTCGTTCACATATGATTAGTTTAGCTGAATGGGCAGTAGAGTCGCAGAAGATGGGATAGTTGGAACAAATTGTAGATCCCAATCTTGCGGCCAGAATAAAACCAGAGTCCCTCAGGATGTTTGGAGAAACAGCGGTGAAATGCTTAGCTTCATCTAGTGAAAATAGGCCATCAATGGGTGATGTACTGTGGAAACTGGAGTATGCACTTTGTCTCCAAGAGCCTATCATTCAAGATGATCCTGAATGATTCTTTGTTAGTGGATCATTTAAAGATTTATTTTTTGTTTTTTGTAACAGTCTTCAGAGTTTTATTTAGAGAGTTAGTGTTTCACATGTTGTATATGGTTTCTATTAAGCTTGTTGTTTGGTCTTTCTTTTTCACTAATATTTGGCAATAGGGATATGGCAGGGTCAGGTCTGGTAAAATGGTTGATTTGTTTTGGTACTTCTTTGAAAGAACATTCAAAACTGAATGACAAGCAGCAATTGGATTTCAGTGAACTTTCAGGTGCATCCATTCAGTAAAGATCTGGCGTAATATTCAAGCCAAAAGCCTAGACAACAGCAAGTGTTAGATGACTACATTCATGGCGGAGCAGATACTTTCAAGAATCTTCATGAACCAAAATGGAAAAGCTTACTGAAATGAGTAATGGATAAACCGAAACCAAAAATCACAGAAGAAAATTATACAGAAATGATTCAGGATTTGTAAAGATAGACACATCCATTCTTTGAAATATCACTCCCTATATTTACAAGCACTTCACCATTACAATTTACAACTGACAAACATGTGCTTCCAGAGTAATGCCAAAAAAAAAAATGGAACGTAAGGCAAGATGATACTTGAGATGCATAGATTCGCTCTTGCAGATTCATGTGATGTCTCAGTTTGAGGCCACGGAAACATCATCTGGGGTAGAAAGAACCGTGAGAAATGCTCGCAAGTGGCTATTGAAGTCGAATCACCTTCTCTACGGGGATAAGATGGGGTATCCTAAGTTTCATGAAGCTCCATTTTTTTTCTGATTTTCTCATCCATAAGGGGAGGATTAATTGGTGCATTTTAATCTTCTTCTTTCTATACTAGCATCTGAACTGCCTTGGACATGGATGGTTTTAGTCCCAGAACCTCTTGTGTGCACAAAAGTCTTACATGTACCACTCTTAGAACCTCCTTTTTTACATTGCTTGAGTGATAGTTGTTGAAAATGTTGCCATACTTGTTTCATCCACGGCAATAGTTAAATTAGTGAAGCAAAAACTTCTGGGCCAAGTATTCTGGCGCCATATATCCTCTGTGAAGGAAAAAGAAATGAAAAATTAACCATCGCCTAAGATCAATTAATTAGCCTACTGGCAGTTTGTATTTAGTGAACAAAAGTTTTGAGCTACAATCTAAATCGTGAAAGTAAGGAACCACTAACAAAGCCCCTGGTTTGGAGGAACTCATATACAAGGTCATTTTACTGTACATCATATAAGACTGCATGCACCAACAGAACTATATAAAAGGATAAATGAATGAACATAAGAGTGCAAATACAAAGAGTTGTACAAGAACATGTGATATAACAGCACCAACATTATACACATTCATCTTATGAATGCCAAGTGTAATTTCATCTACCAGATGAAAAAATAGAAACCATGAATCCAGATCAATCTACAGTATCCATGGAAGGAGCTAGAGAGAGAAATGTAATCGACTCCAGGGAAAGAAAAACATATTTCATTCAACTCAGCAATGTACAACTATAAGGTTATATTTATACTGTTAAGTCCCACATTGGTTGATGGAATGGGATGTGGGTTTTTATATGGTGTTAAGCAAATCCTCCATTTATGAGCTATAACTTTTGAGGTTAAGTTATGCATTTATCTTCATAAATACATATCTACCAGCTCATCCAGCTAACTACAATTAGTTCCAATTTACCAGCTCATTAATAACTAATCAAACAGTCTCAGTTAACCAAGATGTGACAGTCAGCTTGTATTGGTATGTCACCGATAAGAACGTGCTTTTCTGATTGCTTGTTTCACTTCAAGAGGGGAACTTTCACTTATTTTACCACATTGTGATGTGGCCAGAAATTGAAAATAGTGCACGGATTGTTTTCTCAATCCTGTTTTACCTATACTACAAAACTTACATCCTCTATCATTGTATCAAACAGTTGTACCATATGGATTCAGGCATATTTACATGATAATGTTTTATATAAAAAGATTTTATTTTTCTCTCCAGTTTATTTAAAATGCTTTCAGCGGTGTTCCCATTCAAGATTAAGAAATAACATCTAAAAGAAGAAAAAGAGATAATCTTTACCTGCTCCTGATTCTTCTTCTTTTCAAGAATTCAACATAATAACTCCACTTGTTCTAGAAATAAACAAAATGCCTCTTGCTGAAATAGAATCTTAAACTTTAGCTGCCGCTACTTCTGAAACAGAAAAGGTGCTGCTGTTTTAAACTAGACACTTGAGAATTCTGCAAAAGCATAAAATTCTACATAACTCTTTCATAAAACCACAGTAATTCTAAATACACTTCTGGTGACAAAGAGTTTAGCTGACAAATATAGAAGCCTGTGAATTCATCAGTTTTATAGCAAAAAATTCAAAAACATTTCACTGAAACGTAATTGTGACGTCAGTTTTCATTTGAACATAATAAATTTGGCTAGGGATAACAATATTATCATTTCACAACTATGATAAGACAGTTGAATCGAACTGTGAATTAAAAATTACAGGAACCATTGATCTAATCTAGACCTCAAGTAAGCCCAAGAAAAGTTAAGATTATATCAGAAATATGAGTTCAATTTCTTTTAATAGTATCAAGTAATACTAGCAAAATAAACATGTTCTGGTGTAAAAGAAAATGAAAAAATGTTAAATGTACTCAGATGAACACAGCAAGAGCAAACCTTACTAAGAGTCAAGGGGCTGTTCTTTAGACCAATCTGGAGGCTGTATAGTAACTGTGAATGAATCATTTGCTATAACTTCATGTTGTGTAGTTAGAATTTCTTGGGCTGAATTGGCAACATCCCAGTTGCACCAGTTTACCTCAATTCTATTTAGACATACAGCATCTTCAAAATGAGAAGGGATTTTCTCAAGATGCTTACATTTCGTTAAAACCAAATGTTCAAGCTTAGGAAAAGCATCATCAGAGACAGACCATTGTGCAACTTTGAGGTTGTCCAGTTTTAAGTATTTGAGTTCAAGGAACTCTGAATCTTTCACTTCCCAGTGATCCCCTTCAAAGGCTCTGAGCAATAACTTAAGAATCACCAAGTTGGGCAGTTCTGCAATGATCGAAATTTGGGTCCAAGGTAGACGAAACTTTGATAAAGTCAATTCCCTTAGTTGCGAGGGGAAATTGAACTTGTGAGGAAGTTTGGCTGGATAGCTGTTCGAAACCAGCTTGAGGGACTCAAGGTGACTTAGAAAATCTAATCTGGGAAAACGAACACACCTACCCTTCAATTTCCTTGAATAACCAAATGTCCCTGAAAATATGCAACTCAACTTTCTCAATTTTGGCATCTTCCTCAAAATCATCTCTGCGTCTTTACCATAAAAGAGACGTGGAGTAGAAAAGGTTTCCAAATTAGCTAATTGTGAGTTAGCAGTTAATTCATCCATGTTCTCATGCAAACCAAAAGAAACCCGATCATTTACATGTATATGCCTCAATTTCACCATCTTCAGAAGTGAACACGGTAATATCATCTCTCCTCCCAATCCTCTTACAACAAAAGTCTCAAGATTTTCAAGCTTAGCTATAGATGAAGGGATTGAATTTGCATCAGTTTGCGCCGCAAAGTACTTCATCTGAATTAGATATTGTATTTCAGTGGGAAAAGTACCACCAACGTTGAATGATTCCAAATCCAACACTTTAACAAGTTTGAAGCTCTCAAAAATGAAGGAGATATCACGCGGCCATAACAAGTTATCTGGATCAATTGCATTGAATAGTAAAGAGCGGACATTAGAGCGAGATGGACGCCACAGATCAATTTCATCTTGGTAAGAATGAACGAACAATCGGTATTCCTCCAATCGTTCTGGAAATACACCTTCTCCACTGAATTGGATAAAAGAGAACATATGAAAATGAGAGTTGGCATAAACATAATACAGTTATTGTTTTTTTTTGGTGAAGTAAAATTAATACAGTTCTTTTTACCTATTGATTTGGAGAAGGAAATCCTCTTGTTTGGCCTTTTCCATGCAGAATTTATGCAGCAAATCATGAATGCGGCACGTTTTCACCTTGGCATTAGGTCTGTTCTCCATGACCATCACTAGATTCCTACGAATAAGATCATCCAAGAAACCTTGTGCAGTATCTTCTAGTCCGTTTTCGTTGTTTGCTTGTACAAACCCTTCAGCTACCCACAACTTGGTCATTTTTGAGACATGAATATCCTTTCCCTGCAAAAATCCTCCAAAATAGAGAAAACAAGGCTTAAGATAGTGTGGTAAATTCTTGTAACTGAATCCAATTATAGATATGCTCTCTTCCAAGCTGCCAATCCTCTGGGAACTTAGACTTTGTTCTACTTCTTTCCAAGAATCTAGTGTCTTCTTTTTCTGTTTCAGAACACCAGCTACTAACACAACTGAGAGAGGCAACCCTCTACAACTTTTTGATATTTCAAATCCCACATTTTTAAGTTTAGGTGGACAGCTCTCTCCTTGAAAGACTTCTCTCTGTAATAATGTCCAACTCTCATCATCTCTGAATAAACGAAGATGATGGGGATCACTTTCACATTTGACATATTCGGCAACATCATTCAAGCGGGTTGTTAGAATAATTCTACTCCTTTTTGAAACATCACTGAAGCACATACGTAGATTGTCCCACACTTTATAGTCCCACACATCATCAATGAAAATCAAGAATCTCTTGGTCAACAAAAATCGGCGTAGCTCATCAGCTATTTCACCATCTTCTTTTTCATTGCGATCAGAAGGCTCAAGCACATCATTCAAAATGGTGAGCAATAACTCTCTCCATGAATATAATTGAGTCACAACACATTGAGCATGGACATCGAAGCGAGAGTTGACTTCTGGATCATTGTAAATCTTCTTTGCTAGTGTAGTCTTGCCCAATCCTGGCATGCCAACGATTGAGATGACATCTAGCTCAGGTGATCCTCCAAGTAGTTTCTCCTTTAATTCATCCATTGTATCCTGAAAACCCTCCATTTCTTCGTTTGCTCTTTGAGTATTAGCTGAAAAAGATGGTGCTACATTAGTGGTGGTTTTT